GTCCTGTCTTTGACACATGTGCCATCATCTAGTTTCCATAGATGTTCATCGGAGTTTCGACCAATAGTGGTCCTACTCCTCTTCCCCTTTCTCCTTCCTTGTCTTCCCCGCTTTGTTGATTATCCCTAGCATTTCCTTACTGGTTTAACTTCAAGGGACATCTTTCAGTACTATGACCAAATTTGCCATAACAGAAATAGATCATGTGCAATCCTTTGTAGTCAATCTTCAGCCAATTACCATCAACCATATATGAAGGTAATAGTGGAGCTGACAGGTCAATTTCCACACACAAACAGGCAAACATGGTTCTTGCTCTTGTGAGTGTCATTTTATCTACCTTAATTGCTCTTACAATCATGTTGCCTAGGTTATAAAAGAACTTCTTATTGTAATAATCACCCATAAGTCTTGGTAATTGAACCCATACCACAAGACTTTAGATTTTTTTATTCCAAGGATTAAAATTCCTTTTCCATATTTGCACCATGAGATAATGATTCTAAATTAACCATGGACCTCCTTCCAATGCAAAGTAACAATCGTCCAGTGATTGGAAGGAAGCGGTCATAAAACCATTTCCTATATTGTTGACTTCCACTCCTCTAAATTTTTCCCACATCACTTGAATTTTCCTTCTCATTTGCATAAAGCCTAAAGAGCCACGCATGAGTTTTATAATCAGTGTATTCTCCCATTTCCTCTCAAGCCTCCTTCTCTCCTTCTCTAAGAATACTAGACTAGGACCTTTTACAGTGTCTGTCACGATGACTCTGTCTATTAGTTCTTCTGTATCCCCAAATAATAGGCTTCCATCCCACGCTTCCTCATCATTTTTCCTCTTCTCATTGCCTTTCCATCTCTTCCCTAATGGCTTGACTGCTTCTCTATAAGAAAGTGGTTCCCCCCTCAGTTGTCGAGCGTCTTCCATTTCTTCATCTTGCATCCAGGGTTTCTCTTATGCCACTAAGGAGATTTCACCCAGGAACTTTCCATCACACGCTGCATCTTCCCTCGTTCCTCCTTTTTCCCCCTCCTCTTCTGCCATAATTTGTCTTAAATCAGGATACATCGAGATAACCATAATTCTCTCACTATCCTTTGTACTCTGAATAGTTGGTGCTAGTCTCTACGAGCCTAGCAGATCACCTTGAGGGTGATCGGGAGGCTATTTTAGTGGTCACATTTCTTTTGACATGGCTCACCCTATCAAAACTTCTCTCTCTACTTTTTTCTCTCAAGTTATTGGTTGCTAACATCAAAATAAACCTTTGATTTGCCAACTATGCACTTCTAATACTACTAATTTAATTGTTCAAACCCCAATATCCTTCATCAACTCTCTAGATATAATTCTTTGGAATGGCAATCCAACAGGATCTTACACGATAAAAGTAGGTTTCTTAATATCCCTGCAAAAACACATTAATTATCCTCAATATATGGATCTTTTTTTTTTTTGGAAATCTCTATGGTTTAGGTCTTTGCCTTATAAGTATCTGCTTTTCATTTGGAAATTGTTCAATGAAACGATTCCACGTAATGATATCCTTAGGAAACATCATCTCAATGCATCAAGCTCTTGCATTTTTGGATATGATCTGGAGAAAACTTTAACACATATATTCTTTGCATGTCCTTTTACTATTAAATCTAGATGGTTTGGTCTATTCCCAATTCAGGTATTAGCTTCCAAATTTCAAGACTCTGCATGCTAGCTAAGATCTATTCTACTTCAGCTTCAAAGAGAGAGGAAAAAGAACTTGGTGCATAGAATAATAGGAGAATTATAGTGAGGTCCCAATAAAAAAAAATAACTACCCAAAAGTTCTAATAACTTGTTATTCCCTACTCTCGAACTTATCATTACAGGCCGAGACTTTTTAGTTATTATGTCTTTTTATTGGGATTTTATTGCAATTCTTCCTAGAATAATCATATTACTTAATGTTCTTTGGCATAAGAGAAACATTCCCCAAGTTACACCAAATTTTTACTATAACCCAAAGACTAATCTAACAAGACGTAAAGCTTTTCTTATCCACCTGCCCTATTGTAGATTTCTGTTCTAGCCATTTCCAACTCTTCAAAAGCTTAGCTTACGTATTTGTAGAATTGTAGGGAATTATACGCTACTTTTAATTTTTAATATAAGATCTACTTAACTAATTTAGATATATTAAGAAAATTAGTTAAATTAGTTATTTGTCAAAAATATATGTTGGTTTTTCCAAAATACCTTCTTAAATCAATGCACTAAAACTACCTCTTAATAGAAGCCTTTTTAAATATGTACAATCAGGGATAATTTAAAAAAATGACAAGTACAGGAAATAAAATAAATTAAAATTTTATATTTAGAAACAAACTAATAAATTTTTTAAACTAATTTTTATATTAGGTTATTTTGTGTTCTGTAAACTGATTTTATTTTCATGAATGAATATCATTTTATTAAAAGAAAAAAAAAGATCATATATGCAAATGACACGTGTAACTATCTAACTGGTCATCCTCAAGACTTCTAAAAGTAAAATATTTCTAATGGGCAGACTGACAAGAAGCTAAGCGAGTGGGACCCAGAGGCCGAACTCTTAGACGGCACCTGCCAAGGAATGTCATTTCATAATTTTCATTCATCCTCCACCGTTTGTTTTGTTATCGGCTTACGACACAGCTGATTATTTGATGCATCGATGCTGCAACAAGCATGTGCATAAAAGTATTGCACGTTAAACTCAAGGATGCTAAATTTTCTTTCACTATTGCAAAATTGGCAGATATGCATAGGGAAGCACCACAACAACAAGACCAATGGACAGTAAAGGGAAGCTGTTAGATTTAGACTGAATCGAGCCCAAAAATGGAATGCTTCCACCATCAGCTAACCGCCGGGAAAGATTTACTGGCCTCCTTGACACAGCTGATTATGATAATTGATAAGCTTGTACTTTGGCTACAAGTTCATTTCCAAAATAAGAGAATTCTTGGTTTACATCCTCACCTCTTCTTTTTCTTTTCTTTTTAATTTTATGCAATTTAAATACAAACGTGTGTATATACCGATCAGCATCAAATCTATGAGCAGGAAATGCTTATCTGTAAAAGCAACCCATATTTTTTTGTTTATTAAGTCTAAGTTGTATTCAATACCTTAAACCATTTTTCTAGTAATACCTAACATCATACATTTATTAATTTTTTGCACATTAACTATTCTGAACTATTTTTTAATAATACACAGTATTTTAAATTAATTAATTTTTAGTATATTCAGTATTTTAAAATATTTTTTTAGTAACATTCAGTATCTTAAATTAATTAATTTTTGATACATGCAGCATGTTGAAATATTTTTTTTCAGTAACAATCTCTAAATGAAAAGAGTACTCTAGTTGCACTTAAAATTAATTAATTTATGATATCAAATGTTATTGAAAAAATAGTGGATAAAAATTAACCTACATAAACAAAGAAAGAGAGAAAGATGGGGCTTCTTATCCCTAAATGTTGCCACTCGGAAAATGAGCATTCTCTACTCATTAATTCAATGAATAGGAAATGCGGATTCAGGTACAAACATATCAACTCCAAATTTAAATTTGGAACTTCATCTAGACATGGCGGGTACACTTTTTTTTTATATATATATCTTCTAATGATACGTACGCACATAAATATTTCTTTCTTTTTCGTCCGAAAAGATTATGTTTTTATTCTTATTTCACTCATTTTTTATTTAATTATATAATTTGAATATTTATTATTAAATCATCATAATTTTGTAATTTTATGTTATAAACATTGCATATTAGGATTTCTCCTAAGATCCTTTAAGTTCTGCATGTCGTAAATGTATAATCTTCTCAATAAATGATTTGAAATGAGTTTCTTATGGTTAATGCCATTACGTTTCTCTTTATTCTCTTGTAACATGACTTAATGATGAGGAACGGATATCAATAGAGGCAATGTACGAGATATTGGCATCCACAAGTGAATGAGAAATTCTTGCTTTCTCCCCTAATTTCATGGCGTGCTATTCGCTTTCTCCCTAAATTGTACATAGTTTCTTCAATTTTAGATTCCTTATAATCAGATTTTGGTGCTTTTTCCTACCAAACAAATCGATGTATGTTGGAGCGCAATTTTTAAATAAACTTTAATTGTTTGATTAATTTGAAATTATTTCAATTTAATGTGAATAAATATTTGTTTCAAATTTAAAAACTTAAAATTATTTAAATTGATTGAACCATCAAAATTCATTCAAATTAATAAAGTTATATTCAAAATTTAGAAAATTTAGATTTTAAGTTTATCGAATGTTATGTATTCCTTCTTGTCGTTTTTGTAAGATTACAAAATTTGAATTGGTTTGGTCTTTTTCAAAAAAATTCTATTTATGATTATAGAACATTAAATATGCTTTTTTTTAAAACTAATTTTACCTCTAATTAATTTTCTATTCTATGTCCTCATCTTTTTTTTTTATATAACACATTCTTTTTAATCTTTTATCTCATTATTCATACTTTTCTCTCTTATTTGCTTCCTTATTGAATAAAAACATATTTAAAAAATTAATTTTTATATATCTATTAATTTTAACTAATTTAATTTTTTTTTAGATAGCGTAATTTAGTTAAAATAACCTCATAAAAAGAATTGAAAGGAGCATATTTAAAAAGTAATTTTTATATATCTATTAATTTTAACTAATTTAATTATTTTTTTAGATAGCGTAATTTAGTTAAAATAACCTCATAAAAAGAATTGAAAGGAGCAGTTAGAAAAGGTAATTATTAGGAAAAAAATACAGATATAACAATTATTAAATAAATTCAAAAACGTCAAAATCACACAATCCTTTCTAATCATATTCCTAGGCATCTTGGTGATCCCACTCCATATTCTCTCTCTACACGCGCGTGCGCAGACATATATAAATATATATATATATATATTTATTTATTTTCCCACCGTCCATGGAGATGTGGCTATGTATCAATTTCAGGTTTCTTCTTGCAGACCTTGACTTTGAACCCACCAGCCATATGAGCTGTTAAGAGAGGGACAAAAACCGGATGGTTCTCACAAACCGGTTTTATCCTGAACCGGCTCACCATAGAAGCGACCACATACTTCATTTGTATGTAAGCCATCTCCTTCCCTAGGCACACCCTCGGACCCGCCTGAAAAACCGGAAACTTGTACGGGCTCACATGTCTCATCGTCAGCCCTGCCGTCTGATCAAGGCCGACCTCCTCATCGAACCACCGGTCCGGTCTAAACTCCCGGCAATCCTTCCCCCATAACTCCTCCATCCTCCCCATTCCGTACGGAAAATACGTCACCCTATCACCCCTCTTCACCGCCGTCCCGTCCGGCAACACGTCGTCCTCCGCCGCATGCTTTGAGTCCCACGCCACCGGCGGATACAGCCTCATCGATTCACATAAACATGCTTTAAGGAAATTCATCGTCTTCAAGCCTTCATAATCAAATGGCTTCATTTTCTTTCCCTCCTCATCTTCGAAAACTTTCTTCACTTCTTTCTCTATCATTTCTTCTACGTTTGGATGCTTCGAAATCAACCAAAAAAGCCACGTCATCGCCGCCGACGTTGTGTCTCTTCCTGCCATTATAAAGCTTATCACCAGATCCCTCACTAAAACCTCATCGTACCCTGCAAGCAACAATCGACTCAACAAATCTTCGTCTTGTACACTGTTGACAATGTTCTTCTTCTTGTTCCTTATGATTTCCAGAACCGACTCGTGGACGAGTTTAATGGCTTCTTTCAGTGATTTCTCAGACCCAATATTCAATGCTCGTTTCAACTTCCATATGAGAAAAACTGGTGCGGTCGCTCGCATGGCGCTTATTGCCGACGCACTATCGAAGGCTTGAACCAGAGGAGGAAGAGGCTGAGAGAGATCTAAGCAACTAGGATCAATACCCAAAGAGACTTTACAAACACTATCAAATGTGAATCTTCTTAGTATTTCCTGCAAATCCACAACTTGGTTTGTAATGGAAGCTGATTCTAACAAAGGGATTAGTCTCTTTTGGACTTCTTCTTCGAGGGTTTTGACGATGAAGTCTTTGAGCGACCTCGTGCTGAAGCCATGGCTGGCTATTTTTCGTTGTTCCGACCAAAGCTCGCCGTCTACATTGAATATGCCACAGCCAAGTAGGTCACCAAGAATCTCAGTGAAGGGTTTCCCTTTGGGGAAATTGTGGAAATTCGTCTTGAGGATGAACTCCACGTTAGAAGGGTTCGCCGTGATGATCGTCCGGCGGGCGCCAAGGCGACGGATCACGATGGTTTGCGTGGAGGATTTGGAAAGGAGATAGGTGTACCAGTCCAAGAGACGGTGGCGATTTTGGTAGAAAGAGATAAGACAGCCAATAATTGGGTAGGAAGGAGGGCCGTGGAAGAAGGAAGAAGATGAAGAAGAATGAATGGACTTGTTTCTATGACAAAAGAATGAGAAGAGAAAAGAGAGAAGGAAAAACCCTAGAAATACGGAGATGGAGAAGAACATACTTGAAAAGCTTGTTATTGCAAGAGAAGAGTTGAGTGTGTTGTGAGTGTAAGACGGTAGAGATATAGGAATGTTTGTGCATGGAAGATTGATGGTGTGAGAGTGAGATTTTATAGTGTGATTGTGTGCTGAAACAAGAAAGAGATATGTTCAAGGGAAAAGAGAGGTCACAGACCAAAACATCTTTAGTACAAATAGACAAAGAACATATGAGTACAAGCTGTAGTGAGATTTTGAGCACATGATTTTCAAGCTTAAATTAAAATGGCTGCTCTTTGCTCATGGAATATATATTTTAGAGGTAATAATTTGACAATATGATTTTTGTATAATTTGCAACAAATAACATATATACTGTATTTGAGAGTTAAAGAGAAAAAAGCAATGATATATGAAGTGGACCACCTGTGTGTGTGTATAACCACATTGATTTGTGTTTTTCTTTAACTTATGACTAGTTTCGGTATTAATCACAATAATCAGTGTCATGGTGTTTATAATTGCAGTGAGTTCTGCACTATTCAGATGCAATTTTCAATTATTTAGATTTAAATTTTTTAATTAATGATTTTTAAGTGAAAAATTATTATTTAGAAAACTAACAGTTAAAAAATTATATACCATTATTTTAAATTTTGTATGCATTAAAATCTCTTTTAGAAAAATTTAAATTAAAAAAATTTATTTGAACCATTTAAATTAGATATGAATGGTGTGCAATGGTGATTAACTTTTGGTGCTCACCATTCTGGTTAGCATTGAAATTCATTCTCTTTTTAATGCATGCTTTTGTCACATCTGGGTCATTATAGATGAGCTTTTGGACGGTCCAACTTTTTTTAAAGTTGAAGTTAAGTTATTATTAATTATTTCTATAAATGAATAGTTAAAAATTGATATTATTGTTGCATATATTAAAATCTAATTTAATAATAAGAAATTAAAATTCATATTGACGAAATTAAAATTGAACATGAAAATAATATAACCGCAAGACTCAGTTGCATCATCTCTTTTATCTAAAATGGTTGAATATAAGCAATTCAATTTAATGCTTCAAACCAACGTGATCTGCAATAATATTTTGTGTGCGCGCGTGGGTGGGTGTGTAGAGATGAGATACATATATATAAAGCACATACTAATAATACAATTATCCCAATCTTCTACGTTGCTCTATTGCTAATTGTTTCTGTTTATAGCAATACCAAAAGAGAAAAGGCAATTTTATGGTTGGTGAAGGAGTAATTTGGATACCAAACTAATTAATGGTCTGTATTTAATTGATGCTTAACTCAATGTTATATTAATGATCATAACTAGGGTTAAGCTTGTCCTCGTCAAGAATATATATATATCGCTTTGCTCCTTATTATTTGTTACTTGTAGTAATTTCTCTCATAACAAGGAGGGCATTAAATAGATGAAATCTTTTATTTTTACCCTTATTAAAGAGATATGGATAGCGGGAAAAATATGATATATTTTCTCTCACCCATTATCTTTCTTCACCTTTACTATAGTTAAGGGCAGTTTGGCAAAAAAATAATTAACAGGGGTAGAATTGGAAATCAAGTATTAAAAAGGATAAAGTGACAAATAAAAAGGACTAAAATCCTTCCTACAAGTGGCAAACAATAAGGGCAAAAGTAGTATCTTTGTTGTGTCATAATTAATTAGGTTTAGGTCTGTTGCTGCCCAAAGCAAGGTGTTCACTTTATTAAATAAAACAGGCCATAGTATTTTGTTTTATTAAAACCCATATATAAAATTAGTCGACTATGAGTTATTATTTTGATCCTATTTATAAGACTAAAAAAATTTTAAACTTCATTAACTCCCATTTAAAATTTAATAATTTTCTAATTTTATCTCTATTTAATATACATTGCATCTCATCAGAATAAAGTTAACACAATAATAAATTCACGTTAAAATTATATGTTCATTGAAAAATTTATTCCCCTGTTTTATAAATAGAACAAAAAAATTTCTTCTCTTTTTATCTTATAAATGGGATTAGAGAAATGATAATTACTCTGGTTTAATTCATCAAAAAAAAAAAAGATAATTACTCTGGTTTTTTTTTTGCCGGAGATAATTACTCTACTTTGTTTATACGCATATTTTGTTTCAGCTCTATGCATGCCTATACACGAGTGTTTGCCGTTTCAATGACACTAAATACACCAAAGTACTAAAAAAAAGGGACTAGTCATCAAATTGTTAGACAGTAGAGACAACACAGTCCAAGGGTTAATGGTTTGATAATAATTTAAGATAAACCAATCATGATTAAAATAATATTATCTCTAATTTTTAATATAAGATCTCCTTAACTACTTTAGATATATTTAAAAAATCAGTTATATTAGTTATTTGTCACAAAAATATGTCATTTTTTCTAAGATATTCTCTTAAATCATTTGCATTAAAACTATTCATTAATGCAAACCCTCTCAACATGTGTAATCAATATGGATAATTTGGAGGAAAAAATATGGCATGTGGAGATAAAATGGATTGAGATATTATATTTAGGATCAAACTCAATCCCCCAACAAATTTTATATTAAGAAGTGAAGATAATATATATAACACAATTAAAATATACAACAACATTTGAAAGGAGTAATTTTAAATAAAATATATTAATATGCAAGTAAATGGGATGTAACGTTTATATGCATAAAATATAAAATATATTTGATGCATAAATCTGACAGACTGGCATGGGTTCAAATGCTCAACACGAGGAGAAAAAATATAAAATATGCTGGATTTGTCCAAAACTTGACTAAATCGGTTAGAAGACTAATTCATCAGCTCACAACTCTAATTACTTGATCCGGATTAAAATTTTAATACTATAAATTACATATCTTTAGGTTGAGAGGGTAGTTTCATTTTGCAGGAGCACTAATCCAACACTATACATAAACCTTTCTATATGCGTGCTATAAATTCATTTATTTCTTGTAAATTTTTTTTTGGGTATAATTCAGAGTATCTTCAAGCTACTTTGAACTTGAAACTCATCTCTACTAGGCTAGAAGTATTAAGGTTAAAGTCTTCCTAATAAGTGCGCTTCTTGATATTCGAATTTGTATTCTCCTCCTTACAAAAGTGAGACTGCTTACCATCTCAATCGTTTATTGCTTTTAATATTTTCATGTGTGACTTAAAGCTTTGCTTAAGTGATGGTTAAATATTTTATAAATATACTATCGAAAAGTTTATTAATAATCTTTGCTCGGTTCAATCAGTAGGAAGAACTACAATTCATTCTTACATACACACACACTTTTTGGTGATGGGTAATTGGGTATGCAAGTTACAGGTGGGAAGGAGGTAGCATATTTAATTCAGAAATCTGGCATTTGCTAATTAATTAAATGCATTCGTTTGCAGTTAAAGGAAGTACACTGAACCAATAAGTTGTTGGTTAAGATAGTAAGTGGTCTCACCTCTATAAAAAGGAAAACACAAGTTTAAATAATACAAGACAAGTCCCAATCTCCCACCACCTCATCAAATTAAGGGAAGTGGTTTTTTTAATCAAATTAATGAAAGTGGTTAAGTCGTTAAATTTGTTTGAAAATATTTTAAAAAATTTATCTTTATGTTGAATCATGAATAACATCTTGAAAAGTGAAAAGGAAAAATTGTATCAAACTCTAAATAGGAAAAATTTTGAAAAATATAATTAATATTTCACCTGGTAACTTATAATAAAGACCTCTCATTCTTACTAGAAAGTGTTTTATAATAGGCGTGGTCAGATGGAGATGGAGTATTTTTGCTGTCCTAAATATTGATCCATTTAATTAAATATAACAGATTAAGAAATTTAGTTAAAGGTAATTAATAATCTTAATATTCTCAAAAATCATACTTCTTTTCCAAAATCTGCCTTTATTCAATTTCATTGGTAAAAAAGTGAGATAATAGGTGTTTAGAGTTCATTTTTTTCACCTATACTATCTCATTAATTCAATAGAGGTGTATTTGATAATATATGATAAATATTGGATCAACCAATGGCGTTGAGTCTAGTAGAAAAGGCTACTCCTCATAATATGGTAAACTAAAATTTGAATTCCTGTTAGAATAGATGCTCAAATTTTGTGTCTCATAAGCGACAATACTTTAAAAATATGATTGCTTCTAATAAAAGAATACCTATGTGTAGCAAAATAAATAAATATTAAGAAAAATGACGGTGAAGGAGCACATTGAAGAATGTGGGGTCTAGAATATTATAATCTTCAAACTTATGAAAAACTATAAAAAAAAGTACTTTAATAAGACGGATAAGACGGATAAGCTTGCTGGTCAAAAAAAAAAAAAGAGGGATAAGCTTTTGACTTTAGAAGTTAGCCGACTGCTTCTTCTGCAAGGGTGTAGAAGTTTCATTATTATTCGTCATAGCCTCTTGATCATTTTCATGAATTTTATCTCAATTTTTAAAAGACAAATTTTAAGTCAGCAACGTGATTAAATTAAATGGTACCTATCCTCTACCGATATTGTTGAATCTAGCTCTCAATATGAAAATACTGTTGAGGAATAATATGTAAATTCTTTAGTTTTCCTTTGTCCTTAATAAGTTCTGAGGACTTAATTACCTAATTTTGATTTCCTAAAAAAATAATATTTCGAATTTATACATGGTTGTATATTCAAGATACCATTTCTAGGGATAGTCTAGTCCTATTAAACTAAACTTTTATTCATTTTTGCCTCGGTTAGTTACATATTATATCAATGTATTAATTATTATTCACTTACTTTCTTTCTCTCCCTACTTAAGGGTATTTTTTAAAAATAAAATACATTTTTTACACATTATTGCTTTCATCGATTTTAATTTAACTAATTTTTTGATATATGTAATTTGAGTATTTGAATTCTCTCCTTATCCTTTTTCCTCCTTTTCTTCTCCTTATCTGATTCCCTTCGGCTGAGAAATGAATGGCTGCAGATTCAATATTTTGTAG